ATGGGAGCACAGGAAGGTGCCGCCTTGATGCTGCCGCTCTTGTCGCTGGTGATGCCAATGGAAGCGGTTGTGGTCTTGGCCTCGCGGCTGCGCTGCTGCTCCAGCCCCAGCAGCGCGTCGTGCAGGCTGCCCTCCGCGAGGAGAAACAGGTGGTATGCGTTGCCCCGCCGCTCATCCACCCAGGACGCCAGCGGCGTCTGCACCCAAGGTGTGAGGCCCCCCAGACGGCGCGCAATCTTGCTGCTCCACTTGGCCTCGTCCGAGGGGCGGCCCTCCCGCTTGAGGGCGTAGGGCACGCCGTCGATCTCCACGCGCCGCACCTCACCCTCGCCGCCCATGCCGATTATGCGGCCAGAGCGGAAGAGGGTCAGGGCAGAGGCCACCAGGATGGCCCGCAGGCCGGCCAGCAGCTGCCGCTCCTGCTCGGCAGCCGCCGCCTGCTTGGCTGCCGCGGACTGGCGGCGCCGAAGCCTGGTGGGAATGAGGCGGTGAAGGAGGGAGGGGCGCGCTGACGAGGACGTTGTTGCCTCCTTGGGCGCGTCGTCGTCGATGCGAGTGCCGGGGGTGGTGCTGATGGCCGGCGTCTCTTGGTCGTTGTCAGCGGCGGCAGCAGGGGAGGAGGGGCGGCTCGTCACCTCCACTACGCAGGTGGCGTCACCGACGGCGTCAAACCACTCGTCACCAGGGGGCGAGGCGACTGCTTGGCCAGGGGCGACGGAGTGTGTATCGTCGCGGCTGGCTGCCTCGGCGTCGTCGCTGCCGCGCAGGTGCAGCAGCCCCTTGAGCTTTGCGCTTATGCTGGGAGCGGCCTGCGCGCTAGCCGCAGCTACGGCCTGGGCTCCACTAGACACGGGCTTCAGCTGCAAGGCCGTTGGGGCGGCATCGCCGCAGCTGCTGGGCACGTCATGCCGCAGTAGGCTGGGGGGGCCAAGGGTGTGGGGACATGTGCAAAGAGGGTTTTGCAAGTATAACATCCTGCTCTTGTAGCTTCAGTCGCCGCTGCGTCGTGTGAAGTGGTGCTGCAGTGGCCACGGCGGTGGCTGCCCTGTCAGCAAGAACGTGCCCACCCCATCCCCTGCCGACGTTTCCGTGCCTCCTCTGCCACACCTTGTAAGCCTGAAGCTACGCATAGAGAAAATACGCGGCTGCTGGGAGGGCTCGCAGGCCTCCATCGTGACCGGTCGAAGCTTGCGGAGGGGCTTTCCAGGGAGTTGGGGCTTGACAAGGCTATAAGTGTTGTTCCAGAGAATTTTGGAATTTTCTTTGTACACTCCGATCGAATGGGCGTGTTCAGAAGCGCGTGGTGAAAGTAGCTGCCCCTGAGGGGATATATCAGCTAGCTCAGCTCCCTCCCCTCAGCTGCCTGCATTGGCGCCCTCCACCACGCACCGTCCACTGCAAATTGCGCTGCTCACAAGCTCAAGAACAGCACAAATCGAGTCATGCCGCACGCAATGTCTGATGGGCCTGAACAGAATTGTTTGAGCTGGCCCTGCCATGAGAGATGTGCACCAGGCACAACCTGCGTCCTCCACACTGCACCGGCGGTTGCTT